CCTCTTAAAGCAGTTAAGGAGTAATCATGGATATTAAACTCCTATCAAGTCAAGGCGAGGTTGGCGGTAGCGTACAGGCATCGGATGTGGTGTTTGGTCGTGAGTACAATGAAGCTTTGGTGCACCAAGTGGTTGTTGCGTATCAAGCAAATGCTCGTAGTGGCAACCGCGCACAAAAAGATCGTGCAGAAGTTAAGCATTCCACGAAAAAACCTTGGCGTCAAAAGGGTACGGGGCGAGCTCGTGCTGGTATGACTTCTTCGCCAATTTGGCGTGGCGGTGGTCGTGTGCACCCAAATTCTCCGGATGAAAACTTCTCGCAAAAAGTTAACCGTAAAATGCATCGTGTCGGTATGAGAACTATTTATTCTCAATTGGTGCGCGATGAGCGTTTGCTGGTGGTTGATGAGTTAAAGTTAGATGCGCCCAAAACAAAAGAATTGGCTAGTAAAGTCAAAGCTATGGGTCTTGAGTCGGTGTTGTTTTTGTCAGACAAGTTTGATGAAAATTTATATTTGGCCTCGCGCAACCTCAAAAACGTTGCTGTGCTAGAAGCGCATCAGGCGGATCCTTTGGCGTTGATTTACTTCAAAAAAGTGGTTGCTACTAAAGCGGCGCTTGCGAAGATTGAGGAGTTGTTAGCATGAGCGCAAACAAAGTAAATGATCATCGTTTGATGAAAGTGCTACTCGCACCAGTAATTTCAGAAAAAGCAACCATGTTGGCTGAGGCTAAAAGTCAAGCAGTTTTTTTGGTGGCGCCTGATGCTTCCAAGGATGAGGTTAAATCAGCTGTGGAGTTGTTATTTAAAGTGCAAGTGACTTCAGTCCGCTTGTTAAACCAAGTTGGTAAAGAAAAGCGCTTTAAAGGACATGTGGGTCGTCGTAATGATAAGCGTAAGGCTTATGTTACCTTGGCTCAAGGACAAGAAATTAATTTGGAAAGCGAGGCGTAAGCATGGCACTGATGAAAGTGAAGCCCACGTCCGCTGGTCGTCGTGGCATGGTTAAAGTGGTTAACCCAGATCTCCATAAAGGTAAACCATTCAAAGCGTTGCTTGAACCGCAAATTTCTACCGCTGGCCGTAATAACAACGGTCATATTACGACACGCCACAAGGGTGGTGGTCACAAGCAGCATTATCGTATCATCGATTTTCGTCGTAATGACAAGGATGGTATTGTTGCTAAAGTTGCACGGCATTCGATATGAACCTTACGGATCTCACCCGAACGCAAACGAACCTGAGCATAAGTTCCTTCACGCGCAAGCAATTGTGCCGAACCGCCTGCAGAGCGAACAATCTGAGCGCCCTTACCTGGCAACAACTCAACGCAGTGAATCGTTGACCCCACTGGAATATTACGAATCGGCAAACAATTTCCGGCTCTTACAGGAGCCTCAGCACCATTCACTACCGTTTGTCCTGCAACCATACCTTTTGGTGCAATAATATAACGGCGCTCACCATCGGCATAACACAATAAAGCAATATT